AGTCATTTTTTATTCTGTGTGTTTACTTCAGATAGTTCTTCTTACAATCGTTTCAAGCTCACAATCGTTTCTCTTTACAATGGTCTAATTCTTTGATTGTTTGATTTTTCTCCTCGATATTTTCATATTATTCTGCTTCTTTGAATGTTGTTGAGCTAATTTTTATAGATACCAGCATTTATGGGGGAAAACCTTTACTTTGTTGGGTGCAGATTACTTTTTGCATTCTGTTTAAAATTTCTTGAATTTCTAGGTTGAAGTTGTTTATATTTGAAGACGTCTGATCCTTCAGATCTTGATTTTAAGATTTTAAGGAAGGACCAGAGCAATGTTTAGTCTAGTGCTAGTTAGCCTCATCCACTAGGATAAGACCCTTCTAAATGACTCTTTGCTACTCATGCGGTGGAAGAGATGCGTTTTGCCATACCGACTGCTCCCACTGAGCCTTTGTGAAAAGTTCTTTTCTCCACCATGGGTAGGTTTTTCTCACATATATGCACTTATAAGATACTCTTATTGAACACATTAAGGAAAGCCTTCTATAATCTCTGGTTGTTGTTCTCTGTGTAGCTGCCTATCTTGTATGTGCCAGCACATATGCCACACACCTGTTCTAGCGCCTATTTTTGCTTCAAACTCCTCCACTGTGGGCTCTCTGTGGAATCTCAAACTTTCCGTGTGGGATGGCCTGGAGCATTCTCTTGCGAGGCAGACCTGCTGGAACATTTGCCGTTACCAGATGTCTTTTTCTCTGAGATGATCACTCTTTCATCTGGTATCCAAATGTATAGAAAACCATTGTTTGTACTAAATGCTATTTTTTGTTCTGTTTGTGTTTGCTTGTTTTTCAGGTGGATTGTTTCATGTTGATCCTCCACTTGTTCCTTGATACGTCCATTTGCTGTGAGGGTGAGAGAAGTTTAATCTTTATTTTTAAGCCAATTTTTTTGGTCATTCTTAACAAGGTTTGTTCAAATTTGTACTTCTCTAATAATTCATTTGGGCTTTTCTCAAGTCTTGTATAGTTATATTGGTTTAGTCATAAATTTGTTATTTTGCATTTGTTTTTCTTTGTTATAATTTTACTCATATTCATTATTTCCTTCTTTCTGCTGCCTAGTGCTTTTAACACATGGGACATAATACTAGAGGAGACTTCCCACCCATGTAACTCGTCTAGACAGACTGTTATTCCATGACAGTGATATCAGCTTGGGTAACTCAAGTAGCTTGCTTGTCTGACACACAGCATTAAGAAAGTTTCTACAGTCCTGGAGAGAATTTCTTGCAAAGCAATAAAGGCACTCTGTGATTAATGCTAACAAACATTAATTACTCTGCAAAAACCAAAGAACATGAAAAACTCCACATATTGGCTACTCTACTCACCAAGGGCCTACCACATGCAATGAAAGCACTCATTGGCAAAGGAAGCTGTGAGTGGGGTGGCAAAGTGTCCATGTTTGCGAATCAGGTCATTGGGTCAGTGTTATAGGGGAACAGGTCCGGGCTAGACACCGGAAATTACACCAAGATTTGAGCTGGTACATTTGACAGCAGAGAAAACATAATGAACTCTGGACCACTCTACTATGTCCTGTGCCAGGAAGGCACACGATGTCCGCAGCTCCAGCGGAATTTGAAAATGGAGAGGGACTACTATCAGAAGCAAGGATGATCAAGGAGATGAGTCTTCGTGGTGTGGTGGGGAAGAACTTGCATATTGTAGAACTGGGCAACAACTTTCTGTTAACAGGAATACTTTGAGGGTTTCTCTTAAGATACTTCATAGAAAATAGCCCCGGTTATTCCCACTCTTGCATGAGCTATTTATGATTCTTTTTCAG